AAAATGAATACAAAACACGTCATGTAATTTGCTTAACTTAATTTATTTAATTACCTTAAATTAAGTTTTCAAATGACAATCCGGTTTTAATATAAAACCGAGAAACGAGGAAAAAATCTCTTCTTTGGAAGCGTTAGACTTAAATTACCCGTTTAGTTAAAACCAAATTCCATTATTAAGCAGGTGTACACTAATCAGATTTTTGATTACTCAATAGGTACTTTGGTATTACAATATAAGCCAGAGTTATCACCATACACGGTGATTCAAGAACAAAATGCGCTTAAAACGAATGTTAGCCAATACCAAGCTATATTATGAGAATAATAAATTATGCATCTAAGTACCGGTTAAAACCAAAATAATACATTTTTTACTACAATAACGGTTTTAATTGTATGATTAACATAAAACCATATTTTATTTTTAAAAAAAATAGTACGCATACAAAAATATTTTATCTAATATTATATTAATGATTTGTAGTAATAAAATTTATTGTAGAATTTTTTTTTTTATAGAAATAAAAAGAAATGTGGACTGAATAAATAAAAAACAAACTGTTTATTTAAAGTAACGCCACAATAACACGATGGTTTATTGTAGACCCTCCAATCCCTAAACTATCGATCAAAGTATACATTATTATACGATGAAAGTCATGTTTCATCAGTAGCAGTATTTCTCTGCCCCGAAAAGCATCAAGCAAACAAGACTTTTGTCGACGGGACGGTTATTGAATTTAACAAAAAAACTATGAAGCTCAAGACATTTTTTTATTGTTTTGTGCTATTCTTTTGTCAATCGGTAAAATTAACGGATATCAGATACGAATATCGTAGCGAGGATCATATCGATAATTATAGTAAGTCTGATTATATAAAATGCACATATCTGTTCAGTGGGCTAAAGCACATGCTGCTAATTCAGATTTTAATCAGCCCTCCATATGATACGCCAACAACGCTGATGGCCATTTACGAAAGTAATTATAAAAATACCATTAGATTTCAGATAGTTTCTTTATATAGTTTAAAAATAAGGAATATGGGATCCCTATGGCTACTACTTTTGTACACAAATTTAGTAACTGGTTTCGCTAAACGTTCAACCGATATACCGGCAGACTATCAAAAACTTGAAGCCACGCACAAGTATGTGATCAACAAACTACTTAAAGACCTAAATGGATGCTATAAAGATAATTCTTATGATAGTTTCTATGCTATGATTCAATAAAGGGTGTACACAAATAATACAGGGGCAATACAAATGCTGAAAAGAAACATTATATTAGCGGATTCATTGAATAAAGACTTTGTAGAGAAGTTAAAAATGAATAATCTTTTTTTTAGAAAATGTGATTTAATGTATATTAAGCAGCGCACGTGACATAAGCATATGGCCAGACATAACCAAAGTACGATTGGAAACATCTTTTCTTGACGCGCATAAACTGGATTGGTCTAATGACAACCTTAAAAACATTAAGTCACACTACACGCTGAACTATTCATTTCTAAAAGTCATCATGTTTAAGTTGATGTTAAAGCACCTGAAATGTCTACACTATTTAGAAGGTTCTGTGTATGAATGGTACAACGAGGTCAAACAATTTAGTGAATTTTTAAGCTTAACCAATGACCTACACGAAAAGAGCTTGCTATCTGCTATCAATAATCTCTCTAATGGAATAGAAAAAATAGATAGTGTGGTTAGTTATGTATATCCTGTACTTGTATCGCTTTGTCTGCCTCTCGGTTGTGAGGTTGACGATCCATTCAATATAGACAGTTACGAATCTGAAGTATCCGATGCGAGTTCGTCGAATGCAGATACAATAAGTTTGGCAAATACAATTACCCATGTGCCGGTTGAGTATACCAGTTTGGAAAAGGCTAGGGCGTTTTTTGTTCGGCTTAGTAAGGCGTTTAAAAATGTCGATTTTAGCATCATTCAATTACTCATAGATTATATTGATGAAATCAAATTGGAAAACAATATGGAGAGGTTAGATTTTGATTTCTTGTAGTCTAATATCATTATAAAAACTTAAATTAGAAATAGTTTTAAAATTAAAACAATATTATTATTATAATAACCCATTTGTTAACCATGTCATAAATGCAAATTTAGCTACACTAAATTATCACATTAAAATTTTAATATTTTTCCATTATTTGTTTTCGTTTTAGACTATTTAACCGTGACTGAGTCTCTTTTAATTTCAAGAAAATACCAACAATAAAACATTGTATACATTGTTTTGTTAAAATGAAATTATAGCCCCCTTGCAATAAGAGGTTGATAAATAAAAGTTTTAATAAAATGTCAACTCTATTAATCCACCACAACACATTTAACGCTTAAAAATTATGGTATTGAGTCTCTGAACAAATATAAAATAAGCAACAGCAAAACCTACTTTAATTTGAGGAAACATGACCATGTAATTTAAAGAAGATACTACCACGCGAAGAGAGCGTTGATATGAAATTTTAAGTGGTGCAAACCCAGGGAAGAAGAGGACTTTTGCCCCTTCTGTTTGGTAGGTAGTTAAGTAAGTAGGTGGGTGGATACGAGTATGGTATTGCTTGTGGAAAAAATAAGTTTAAATAACACTTATTGGGCGCAACATATTAGTACCTACTTGTAAGAAAATTAAATTAACAGAGAAATTAAATTTAAGTGGTCAAACTAAAAGTTTTTGGGGTCGGTGATTACGAATTTAATATCAGTTCTCAATTTTAATCAGCCGGAAAAACTTAAGTAGAAAAAAAAAATTGAATTTGTGTAAACTTAAAGTCGAAAGTGGTACTTTAGCACAAAACTTAATAGTATCATTCTGCATAGATCTACAAAAAATTGTTTTAATGAATTGATAAATTTTATTTTTAAGATTTTAGGTGTTTTTATTAAAATATACGCAATATGCGAAAACACAGTTTTCCGGCAATTAAAAATTATCCTTCCCTTTCCAATTTTTTTTTTTTAATTATATACATAATACGCGTGTTAATGAAACTCTCTATTTATATACAATATAAGCATAGTTATTATTTATTAGCATTTTATTAAACAGCGCTGTATACATTGTGCCGATACTTAATCTAATCAGAATATGGGTAAATATTTCAACTGATTTCGATAACTATTCTTTAGCATAATAGTTGCTATAGTAGTTCAAAATGTAAGGTTTTTCATTTTTATCTTCTTAAACCTGTATTTTATAAAATATAAAAATTACCAAACTGAAAATACATTGCATTACACAAGGTTACAGTTATAAAAGTTTTGCTTATAGCTACAGGATGGGTGAAGATCGAATTGTGTCGCAAATTGTAAATGAAGTAGCAACCGCCATATAAGCACCATGCAACCTTGTATCTACCACCACAGCGAACCTATGAACGCTGCTGTGCTTTGCCAGCTCTGCATTGACAACCGACAATATATGGCTGTTTGCTTGGAGCTGTACTAGAACTCTGCAGGTGAGTTCACGTCAGTCGCTATAACGGGCTCGACCACATTCGCAGTTATTGTTTTGAATACAATCTTATTGCCCGCCGTGCGCAGCAGTCTAAGGCAAAGGGACCCTGATGTCGGAGAACAACGGGATAACCGTTTTTTCAGTCTTGGGTTCTAAAAAAAATGTACATTGATATTTTATCTAAGACTTCTGCTATACGTTGGGATGCAACCACTACGGTGGATATAAGCACATTTTTTTGTCACTTTAGATTATATAACCTATGATGATATTTTTTAAAATATTTAATTCACTTTTTATTGTCAGGTCCGTCGTGAACTTCTTTACATTATAGACAATAATAAAATTACAAACCGAGAACTTTTTTTTAAAAATTCAATAGTTTTACGGTCATTTTTAAGGGATAAATTATAAGATAAATCTTAGTATAGTTTGTCCATCTACATCGTTAGTAGTTTTCAAGTTTTAGTTGGACAAGACATATTTTGTGTCTATTTTTAAAGTTTGATTACCTAAAAAATTAATTAATAAAATTCAAGCTACTATACTTATATTATAAAAAATATAATAGTTTAACTAATATTATAACAAATTTTTGTTTTTATTTTTGTGCATTCCGTCTAAAACTTCTGGTTAACCAGAAGACTTTTCTATTTAACAAATAAATTTATAATATAGTATACAGTGGCTCTGAATACGTCCCTGGATTTTTAGCATCCCATGGAATTAAAAAAAAATATGGCGCCCATAACTTGTTTAGTATTCTAATAATGTAAAAAAAAATGTGTATTCTATAAATCAAAATTATAAAAGTCAGAGTCAATAAGTATAAAAAAATCATACATATATATATTTATATTTTTAAACGATTGTGTTTTTTTCAAAAGTAAATTGTTTGAGATAAAATTAAAATTAAATAATTTAAAAAAAAACAAATACGTTTTTGGGATATTCCGAAGAGTTTTGGCTAAACAATATAATATAGACTAGATAATTTCCATAACTCCACACTGTTTACATCATTATCTCTCTTAGTTTGTTGATCATTATATTAGAATACATTTGTATTGGCTTTTCCAAAATTTAATTATTTCAAATGATTTACTTTATACAAAATTATATGTTATTAAATTTTAATACATTTTTTGTTACAATCATGATTTTATTTCAATTATTATGGCTATTTGTATTTAAATAAAAAAAATTACTTAGTTAAAATTCAAAATATCCTATTGAAGAAACTCCCAAAGTATCTATGTAAAATGTATACAATTTGAATTAATTTAACCACTTCAATTTTGTTCATTAGTATGATTTGTTTATTTCGTGTTTTGAGTATTGTTGCTTACAAATAATTTACCGAGAGGAGAAACATCGGTTTTTTATCCATTCCAATATTTAAAATGTTTACCGTACTGCAAAAAATGTAGTATATTTATAATTTAATAGGTTTTTAATTTAAAAAAAAAAAGGGTTAATAATTAAAATGAATGTATTTATTTTTGTTTGTAATTATTAGTTAAAAGAAATCATGTAATATATATTTGTTTTTATTAAACATAGATGAGCGTAATGCTTTAATTGATAACAATTTAAAAATATTTTAACGAATAATAATTATTATAATGGTTACTGAACATGTCTAATTAATATTGTTTAAGATTGTGAGCTATCTTTAGGACAGCAGGATTGAGGTATGATATATTTTGTACAAAACAATACAATTTCCATGTATTTCGCAAAGTTTAATGTTTTATCTGAAAAAATAAAATTCGTTTTTTTTTTTATCAGGCGATGACCAACAGTTTTCTTCAATTAAATAATTTAACTCTTTTTCAATTACCTTCATTGTCGAATTTCTTTATATAATTTTGCCCTTTTTCGGTAGCCTTTACAGATTCTTCCGACAAATAGCTTATAACATCCTCCATGAAGCCGTCATACTCATTAGGGGACAGTACACCGTCGTGGTTACTGTCGATATGCTTGAATGTCATCATGGTAGTTATGACCTCCGTTAAACAGAACGCTGTGATATCCTAAACAATTGTAAATTTTAAAATGTATAATAATAATTAATTAGTAGGTAGGAGAGATAGTACAAAAAAAAAAAATAATAACATTGAAGAACTTTAACAAAATTATAAACGATATTACATTTTCAGCAACCATCTTATTGCGTTCTGCTGCAGCGACGATTATATCGACCAACAGTGTTGCAGCGGGTTCTGTGCGAGTTTTAATAATTAGTAGTTTTCCAATTACCGATCATACCTAATACAATATAAATACAATCATTAACTCTTACCACTGGAATCAAATAGCGGTTTCAGTTCGCTGAGTTCCTCAGTAGTTAAACCAAGCTCTTTGAACACTTCTTCACTTGCCGCGGGATCAATGCTACCGGTTTGAGTATTTCTATTTTCGTACAAACTGTCAAACTTTTCTAATTGAGCTAGAGTCAGACCACCGCCCTACAATGTATGACCAAATTATTAAAACAAGCGTTGTGTTAGGCTGTACCTTAAAAAAAAAAACTTTGTTAATTGACACTTCCCCCCCCATATCGATAATAGTCTATATAAAAAATAAATCCCTTAAAATTCCACATCCCTAGACTGATGAACACTTTTAAACTTAAAAAAAAAAAAATTAAAAGCTGAAATAGGGATACTTCAAAATGAGTCGCATGATATTTCACGATACAAATTGTTTGTTTTTTTATATTTTCAAGTGTCATATTTAAGGTGTAAGATCCAGCTAAGCTGGTAAGCTTGGTAAGGTATAATGCTCGCTTTTTTCGGTTATTTTTTTTTTAAAGCCAGATTCCAACTAAAAAATCATTGAACTATTTATCTTATGACGAAAGAATTTTGTTTTTTTGTATCACTTCAGTCTTCACAGTATTTGATCTATTTATGGTTTGATGGAAAAAATTACTTGACTACCAGATAAATAGGTGGTTTGGAGTCGTTAAAAATTTAAATAACACAATGGTTATTTAATCAAATCTGAAATATTATGTTCAAAAAAATGTTTATTGTTTTTAACGATTTATTTTTTTAGCTTCGATGCGACCAACGATGCTATTGGTTTTATAATGTTATAGGTTTTTTTGTGTCTGTATACAATATGTAACAACTCTGAAAACCACAAATTTTATCTATTTGATACTTAGGGGGGGGGGGGCAAAGTTGAAATAGTTTGTATCTTCACCCTAAAATTTACTATACGTGTTTTAAATTTCCAAATTTAGAAGTTAGGGGAGGGGGTAAAAGTTGAAAAAGGGTTTTTAAGCGTTTTTATGGAAACCCCAGTATGAAATTTATACATTATATGTAGAATTTCCTCAGCTTTCTGAAATAATTATCAGTATTTTTTCCAAAAATCTAATACTATTTTACATAAAAAACTGATTTTTGATGGTCGATATACTTTAAAAAAATTATAAATAAGTAGTGTCAAGTAAAAAAACTAAAAATACTTTCTACGACCATATGACCAAAATAGTCGAAAAAAAAACCCAACAAATTTTGAGAACATTCTTTTTGTTGTAACAGACATGCAGTGTAATTTTCAAAAAAATCCGCGGGGAGTCACCCTAAATGTTTGTTCGTATTTTGCATACGTCCCGTTTATTCAAATATTTAAAATAGTTTTATATTTTAAATATTTATGACTTAAATTAAAATAAATGTTTGATAATTATTACTATAAATGTAGCTACTTTAGATGTTATTACGTAAATTATATGGAATTTAATTAATACGTTTAAAAGTGTTGTAAACTTGTTCAATATTTAATAGGTTTCAAAATAAATAAAAATAGTAGAATCTCTTGTTTATAAGGCGAATCATTAAAAATAAAATACTCATTTTCTCCTTAAACAATTGCAGTTTTGTAGTTTTTATTTTTGCAAATACTTTAGTTTTGTTATTGTATGATACTTTAAAATATTCATTTTTTTATGTTGGTTCTTCTAGATGTTTTCTATTGAATGTATGTAGAGAGTGTTTTCCCCCCCCCCCTCCTTCAATTTTTTTGTTGGAGAATTTAACTTACTGCTGGTTTGATTTCCATCATCATCAACAAGAAATCCACCGCATTCATAACATAGTTAACTAAAATTGAATTAAAAATTAAAAATTGTCTACATGAAGTAAACTGCCTTCTCGGCTTATTTGCATTACCGTCGTTTTTGAGTTTAAGTTCTTTTATTTTTGCGTTCAATGCTTTATTAAACGTTTTCCAATCTTCAAATAATCTTGATAGCTGTTCAAAAGTTAGATATCCCGGTTGATCATTACTTATGATGTGTTGAACGAACTCGTCCAGAAAAACGGTTACATCAATTGTCCGGAGCCTTTTAACCTGAAAATAATTTATACATACACGGTGGTTACTCATAACAGCAATTATCTTAAAAAATATCTTGAACTTTTTAAAATTATCTTTTTATAGTTACGCGTTCGCCCAATTTGTATTTCATTTTCTATAAAAAAAAACGCTATCCCTTATGTGTAATGTCTTATGAACTAAAGTTTTTCAAAAGGTAACGTTTATTTGTTGTAAACTTTTTAAATAGCAAATGGTTAGCTGCGAATTTTGACTAGTTAACAACCGGTTTTGAGCAATTAATTTTAAAGATAGTAAAGTTTAATATTACTCAACCGTACTTCAGCTCCCTATCATTATATATCCTTATATCCTTATACATCCATGAAGTGTGGATACTTTTAACTTTATTTTCATAACATAACCCCTCCATAATCCTTCCATAATGTCGTCAGCGCTGTGACATTTTTTATGTCGCTCAAAACATGACGGACAGCGGACAAATTTTCAGAATGACCCCTAGCCTTAAGATATATAAATGTCAAAAAACACCATTACTCGCATGTTAAGTTATATGAACTTAAGCTTTTTAAACGGTAACGTTTGTTGGTTAATGATTTTTTAAATAGAAAATTATTTGCTGGGAATTTTGACTGATCGAAACTGAATTTTTAGCAACTACTTTTAAAGTTAATAAAGTTTCATATCAACCAACCGCATTCCATCTCCCGTTCTAAATTTTAAACATTAGCTACTTTTAGTTCACAAGGTGTTTCGTTTAAGGTAAGACACTATTTTTTCCTAAAAAAAAACTACAAAATAGCAATTATTTCAAGAGAAAATGAGTGTCTTATCCTCAATGAATCACTCTCTATAATAAAACATTTAAACATTTTGAATTCAAAGGTTTTTACCGCATAAGGGGTGGGGTTATATTGTTGAAAAATATATCAACTTTCATCTAACTCGTAACTATAATAATAGTATGAATAAGAATAATTTAAAAAAAATCACACGAAAACAAAAAGCGCATTAAATCACAATTCCGATATGTTTTACAATAGTTGATGTGTATTTTGATAGTAGATTTGATACCTGGAATGTGTTGTCGGAGTTGATGTTGTTTGAGCATGCATTTAATCTGTACGGCAAATTCCTCAGTAAATTAACCAAATTCATAGAATCGGGCTGACCTGTATACAAATTGATTTGTTGCTAATTAATGCATTCATTTTTAATAAATCAGTTGTAACGATGGCTTTTTGCCTGACTTTTTATTAGCAACAACTACAGTGTGCATGGCCAGTAGCCATCGTTACTTCCAAACCAAACCTATGAGGTCTTATTTGACGGACAGCACCTTAAGCTGGACGCACATTACAAATATTATAATATGTATAATAAATAGAGGACACGTCTCGTACCGGTGGACAGCACTTGCATCCACCTACATGTACTAATAATTAGTTGACATCTTACGATCTACAATATTACTTGCCATTTATTTAAATAATTATCTTAATATTTATTTGGCGTTAAGCCTTTTTGATAAACAATATTGACGTGGCAATTCGAAAGTTTAGTTAATTCATTTAAAGGTACGACCGCACTTTTGTTTTTCGGACGGTTGTATACATTTATGAAGAGTCTCTAATGATATCATAGGGCGGCTTTATGTCTCTGCTACGGTCCCTTGATTTAACCTCAGAAGGTGGTCAGTTGTGTTTGGGATCACCGCAATGCACCGTAAAACAGTATAATTGTTTTTAAAGGAGAGTGATTTGCAAAATTGTATTCATTGTCACAATAGTTTCAAATAAAGAATTATTCGAAACATTAGCTTGGATGCGGAGCTGAGAGGCTATTGGTATTACAATCTTATACGTTTTGTCTGTTTGTGTACACTGTACATTTTTTAACACTGAACCATTTCCTTTGAAAAGCAACTCTATAAATCACAAATTTTATCTAGTTGATACTTTGGGGGAGGGGACAGATCAACAGTATTTGATCTGTGAAAGATGGGTGGATAGACAAAAATTACTCGACTCCCTAATAAATAGCTGTTTTGGAGTCGTTAAAAATTAAAATAACACAACGGATATATGATCAAATCTGAAATATTATAATCAAAAAAATGTTTATAGTTTTTAACGATTTATTCCTTTAGCTTCGATGCGACCAGCGATACTATTGGTTTTACAATGATACAGAATTTTTTTGTGTCTGTGTACAATGAGTAACAACTCTAAAAACCACAAATTTTATCTATTTGGTACATTGGGAGAGGGGGGGGGGCGAAGTTGAAAAAGTTCACTCCTTCACCCTTAACACTAACTATACGAGTTTTAAATTTTGAAATTTAAGTTATACTCATTTCCGAACCCCCTCCCCCCACGGGGGTGCATATTTTTTTTGTGTTTTGTAGTTGTAATTTTTAGGACCTTTTAGTTAAAAATTTGTCAAAAGTTAGAATTTATGTATTGTATCGATAGCATAATGAAGAAAACATTCTGGATTATTTTTTTTTTTTTAATTGCCGAAAAACTGTGTTTTTGCAGATTTTGTACCTTTTTTTTAACATAAACTCGATAAGTCATTAAAAAAAAAAGTCAGTACAGTAGGGACGGAGAGGTCACAGGTCTACGGATTTTATTATAAATGAAAGTGATAAAAACACTTTTAAATAAACGCTTCGATGTGAATCTGTGGATAGTATGTTCAAACCAGTTATAGCGGTTTAGAAGATTTCGTAGGACCAGCAATTAAAATTTAATATTTAGTCTTGTGCTGGGTGGATACGATAAGGGTTGATCGTCTGTCTATAAAATTGTACTGTCATAGTCACTCATGTATCGTAATTAACAATATAATGAAAATATTTTCATTACCTAGAAACAGACTACGGCCAAAGTGTAAATTTATTCTATTTTGGGTGTTTTTCCTTAATAAAAAAAAAATTTGACTACAGATTTTTAAAAAAATTGTATATGTTATAGTTCTATTTTAGATCTACCTTCGGTCTAATTTTCAGATCTAAATCTTTAAAACTTTGCTTGAAAAAGTGAAATTAAGAAAATAATTCTATCCCTTCTAGGGGAAAGGGTTTATGATATTATTTTGGTTTGTTAATGTTTATCGATAGTACACAGTTTAAAGAACAATAAATTTGGAACTTTTTCGACTATTTTTAAAAAAGTTATAGAGCATCATACCTAATTTTAAATTGAAAAATGTGTACATTTTTTTGGTGTTTTCCTCGATTTCAATGGGAAAGGGGTAACTTTTTTAAATTTTTAGCCCAATAAAAAACCTACCAGGTATGATTTTTGATCTTCAAAGTAGCTACACGAAGAAATCGGTTCAGCGGCTTACGAGATATAGTGGGTCCAGTCACAAAAAAAAAAAAAAAACACATTATTGTAAAACCAACACCTTCTCAGCTCCGCACCGAAGCTAAAATATCTACTACTGTATATATAAAAAAAACAAAAAAAAATGTGAAAAATTGAGATCACACTGTATAAAAAATATGAAAAAATATAATAAAATAATGAAAAAATATAAAAAAAACTTTTAATTTATTATTAAACACTTTGAGATATTGAGTGGTTCACGATAAATGGATCACCCTGTATACACATTTATTATACCGAGTGATTCTTTTAACGCCTACACCAGTTACTTCTTACTTAACATAATTGCAATATTGTAGTTTTTCTTTTGAAAACATTTTTATTCTATACTTAAGCACATTGATAGACAATAATATGATTTTCTCATCAAATTAAGTTTCCCATCAAGTTAATTTGTTGTTTTCCACAATTTTGGTTGCTTCCCCCCCCCCCACTTAGTTTAATTGATTGCAACTTTTAAAACTTAAATGGTAACGCATACATTTTATTAGCTTTTTAAATTGAGAACAATGTAGTTACAATTTTTGACTGGTCGATAACCAGTTTCGGATAATTATTTTTGAAGTAATTGAAGTTTCAAGTTTAGTGCAGGAGGAAAGGTGGAGTGTAGTATTATTTTTATCTGCACGCATTTCCCCTCCTATCAAAACTTTAAAACTCTTATAACTTTAAAAATATTTATCCGAAACCGGTAATCGACCAGTCAACATTTTTAGTACATTATTTTCAATTTAAAAAGTTAATAAAACATATACGTTACAATTTAAGTTTTAAAAGTTGGCATAAAAAAAACTAAGTTGGGAGGGGGGTAAAAAAAACAAATGTGAAAAATTGAAATCGTATTGTATAAAAACAATAAAAAAAAAAAAATTTGAATTTCTTATTAAACCCTATAACATATAGAGTGGTTCACGATCAATGGATCACCCTGTAATACTTTTTTAAAAATTTAAAAGTTTTTAAAGCCGTAGCAAATACTTAAAAAAGATAAAAATTTGAAAAGAAACGGTGTTTGCCATTTAGTTCAACAAATATTAATTAGCCGAGCGCAAAGCCCTGAACAGCATAACGGTCGACTTAAATTACCCGAAAGATAAGTAATATAATAATTGTTAATCAATATTATGTTACCTAGTTTGTATCCAAAACTTTCAGGCTCATCATAACGTATTCCGAAGGATTCTTCTATGATTTGTCCCAATTTCTTCTGGTCAACTTGGTCGATAGTCATTTTGTAATCTTTAAACACTTCACTCAACCGCGTTAGTTGATCACCGGTCAAGCCGTTGCTCTGAAATAAAGTATGACGACCTATCAGTTAGTTGTATTGGTAAACATACAGAGTGAACACAGTGCTGACGACGCAGCACATTTACACATACATAAACCGTGTCAAATGGTATGTATTTACACTACCCGAGGCATATAATAATGATATAATATAATATATATATATATATATATATATATATATTAACATTCTCTTACCCATGCCGACGTTAGAAAATACACCGCGCAGACAATAAGGGTGCTCTTGAAATGCATAATTTTGAGTATTTTTTAAAACAATGAAAATTTAAAAAATCAAAATTCAATCGAGTACTTGTGTATAGTATTATAGCTGTACGACTAATGGTGCCAAAATCGAACGACGGTTAAACAGCAAAATAAGTATTTTCTTCGCGTGTTTGGCGTTGCGTTGACACAATAGCAAAAAAAAACAATATTTGCCAATCCATATTTCATGTTGGTCTTGGATATTTATTCGATTGCACGTGATCCACATTCGGTACTATAAGCCATGTAGGGTATTTTCTAGACAAATAAAAAACCGTGTTTTTTTGTATTATTGTACAATTTTTTTAGCACTGGTGTTTGCGAAGGTGTTTTTCTCACCGTGGACGAGTACATTTTGTTTTTACAATAATATGTTTTTGTTTTTTAGGAAGTTTTTTAGGCAAATTTAAGACCATGTTTCTTTTTGTATTATTGTACAATTTTTTAGCACTGATGTTTGCGAAGGTGTGTTCTTATTCTTTCACTGCGAACTAGTACATTTTGTTTTTACTCATACTGACAACAGCCAACGAGTGTACTAGGAAAAACAATTTTTTCTTTTGCTGCCGGGTCAATAACAAATGATTATATGGAAATATGACTGTATCCCATTTAGTTACGAAATAAATCACAAAATCCAGTGAATTTCCCGATCGCCCGATACGGCCTACTCTTCTGACTTTTATGTTATTTATTTATTTGGACAACGATAAAAACAGAAAGTTAATAAGAATTTTATATTATTAACTGGGTGGTACCGCGATGGGAGCAGATAATAATGTTTATTATTTTTCGAAAAACAATCAAATTATGCCAATCTATAATAAGTTTCGATTTGTACAGTAGACCCCTAATGAATTATTCTGTATATAGTTATATACAGGGAGATTATTTAAATGCCCTACAATAGTTGACTTGAAAACTACATAGATTTGTACAAAAAAAAAAACATTTTAAAATCTTTTTGTGTATAAAATACTAACTTATTGCACAAAAAGTTTTTCTCTCACACTTCCTCGAAAACTCAAAACCCTCTTCAACGTACGATATCATTTCTAATGCTAATAACTGTAACAATAATCGTTGGAACTAAGGCTGCAATATGCCATTTTTTTTAAATAATACTATCTATCCAAGAACGTTATTATTTATAATACGGGGTTCTTCTTCTTTTAGTGCCGTATTCGTTATCATACGTTGGCAATCATGTTAGCAATTTGGTCTTTATTAATGGCTGTTTTGAATAGTGAATTCGTAGATGCGTTGAACCATCGTCTGAGGTTGTCCATCCAAGACATTTGAGGTCTTCCACGGCTCCTTCCAATTATTTTTTCCTGGATCATTAACTGTAGTAGAATATTATTTTTTGAATGCCTCATAACATGTCCAAGGTTTCACGTTTTTATTGTTTTTACTACTTCAAGATCCTTATTCATTTGTTCCAATACTCTGACATTCCTTATGTGATCGCACCAGCTAATTTTTAATATTCTGCGGTACATTCACATCCCAAACACTTGATTTCGATTGATTGAAGCTTCGGATAGAGTTCAAGTAAGGTGAATACAGAAGTACGGTGAATACAGAGCAACGAATCATTCTGTTTCGGAGATCCATGCTTAGCTGATGGCTACAGAATACGTTTCTCATTTTCACAAAAGCCGATCTTGCTTTTTCTATTCGACATCTTATTTCATGAAAATTGTCCCAGTTATCTATCAATGATTGTCCATGATAAGTAATTTTATGTACCTTGCCTAAAGTGGCATTGTTAAGTTGTTGTGCAATTGTTTTTGTTACCCGATGCTTGTTATTTTAATTTTAAGCTACTATGTTAAATCCCAGATAAACACTAGAATTTGAGGCAATGGCTAATTAGCAATAGGGTTTTAAAAAGTTTTTCAGTCGAGTCTGCAACCACGAAAGAGCATTTCCATGTTTCGTTGAAGTACTGAATAAAATTAAAGTTGTGTTATAGATCAAGCTAATATCTAAGGTCGCTAGTAAACATATCAAGTTTCTGGCTAATATTTTAGTGTTTTCATAATATTTGGCCTGAAACAATTCATACAGAATTTGGCTCTCTAAACTATTTTGAATTTATTATTTAGTTCTAGTTTGATCGTTGTAAATACAACACATAATTTAAAATAACAGCGTAACGCTTTTTTGGTAACACTTTTTTCAGCCAGAGCTAATTCCCACCCCCACCTCTTGTCTCTTATCTCTTACCCCCTTTCTCCTATCTCCTACCCCTACCCCTTATCTCCTACCCCTATCCCCTACCCTAATGCTAAAACATTCCCATCCCCATCCCCATTCCCACCCCCAGCCCTAATTTTGATTTATTATGCTTAACTTAACAACTACGCGGTATCTGAAAATGCGGCAGTGTTATATTTTTTTAGCCGATAAAATGATAAAATTCAATACTGGCACAAATGCGTGTCATACACTATGGCATTGATTGAATTACGACTTGTAGTAGTAGACCATTTTAAAGATAAAAAATATAGTAAGTGACTTAAAGTCTTAATATAAAACCCAAATTTTAAGTTGTGGCAATCGTACACCAAGGGTCCATAACTAACTTGAAACCGGCATAACCCCAACAGAACATCAGACCTTGCTTGACTGACACAAGGGAGAGGACAAATTCCCACTATTTACCCGAATGACGCCACTGTATTATGTTAGTGTTATCGTTAGGCTTAAGTTATTATTAAATATATTAATGTAGGATGTAAAAGAGACGGTAAAATTATATTTGAAAAGTTCAACAAAATGGAACTACTAATGGCTAGTTTTAAAACGGATTTTTTGTTTTTTTCCAACGTTATGGAATTTTTACTTATTTCCTTTCTCTTTTCCTTCATCTGTAAGATTACAACAAAGAAAATTTTGAAATTATTTAATTCTAAAACTCTTATTAAGTCACACATAAAAAATGTAGGTACGAAATTTCACAATTTGCCCACTAAATATATTTTGACCTATAACGTATAGTTTTTTATTTGTGTATCGTCAGCCATCGCAGCTGTATTGCAAAAAAAAAAAATAGGTATAGTTTAATAACTGTCAACCAAGACCACTGTGTGTTCGATTGTATATAAAAATTTCACTATTTCCCAAAATTATAGTTAATTTAAGTCATTAGTATCAAAAACTAAATTGTTAGCAATTGCTTAAAATTGCCAGCAAAATATTCTTTATTTAAAAAGTTAATCAAGCCATTTAAGTTCAAAAAGTTCAACTGTAAGGGCATTTTAATATTACTAAAAAGAATACTGTAGGTTTTCTGTCGTTTTTTCGCTATATTTATTTCCTTTAACTACTTTTTGCGCATCGACGAAGAAAACAAAATAATAAATGGTAGAAAAAAAACATCTTTTGTTACACACGTGTACTTTCAAATGTATTACTGAAACCTGTTATTCTTATATTTTCCTTAAATCTAAATACATTAAACAAATTAATTGATTTATTAAAGATAAGCCACTTTCTTAAAATAATCGCATAATTGAAGACACTTATGTTTGTGTTATTGAACAATGTTATAAAATTAATAAATGTTTCTTTTCTTTATTATTTTCTACTGAGTAATGCCGGCAGATAAAAAATATTATTTTACTCTACCCTTCGTCCCGTCCTAAGTTTAATAACTCCTAAAGTAATTATCCAAAACTGATAAGGTATTTAGACCAGTCTAAATATTTAGAAAATTATTTAAATGGTAAATTAAATGCATAAGTCACTATTTAAGGGTTTAAAAGTTGATAAGGTTATGGAAAATATTAAAAAAGGTTAATATTTAGGGTTTTTATAATATTGTAAAATACGTTAGCCAAAAATGTTTTTAAAAAGAAAAACTACAAAATTGCGATTATTCTAAGGATAAATAAGCGACATATCATTAATGAACCACCCGGTATATATAAATAACTTGTCCACCAATTTTAAGTCACCGCCTTATTAAATATTATTTGAAAACACGTTTAAGGTTGTGCTGTTTATTGAAATAAGCAGAAAACCTATAGTAATGCGATGTTTTCTGTGTTTGTTCAAACAGTTACCTGCCTATCATACACCAATGTAGTAAATAAAAATACATTTAAAAACAACACCTTAAAATTGACCTGGTTATATTATTTGATGAAATCTCCAAGTTTAAAACGTTTTTGATTATTATTATATTTTAGGGCCATTTATTTATTAATTGAACACAAATGGAGCACTATTGTCGGTATTTCGAATGTAGTTTAGTAATATTCTATAGAAAAAACACTATAAACTGAGACTTTTAAAAAACATTCCAAAATTAGGTCCAATTCTTAAATTAGTAAAATTAAAAAAAAACCTAATATTATTGTTAAGTCAATATCTAATATAACCCTAACCAAAAAAAAACTTTAAGAGCATTTTTTAGAATGAAACCCCTTTTAGATGACTTACTAAACAGCTTGCGTGCAACACCACGGGATACATTTTTATTTATCGGTCCGCGTATGCCTTGATACTACTTGAAATATTTTTCGTTGCTAACCCAAAAAAAACACTTAGGTAAGTGATGATTAATTTTATGTTGTGGCCAAACGTTTTTTAGTAGTTTTTTAATAATTGGCCTTAATCGATTTATTGGCAAAACATTCGCTTGGTTAGTTATTTTGAATCAATTTAACCATTCATTCAGTTTGTTCGCTGTGAAAAACTACACATAATTAAACAAGTTTAACATCCACTTCCTCATTCCCAACTTCACCCCCAACCCCATCCCAATCCCCATCTATAAAGAAATATATAAGGACCGTTAGGTAATTAATTTCGACGTCGGTGTCGATTTTTCCGGTTGTGTTCCAAAGCAAAGACATAAAAATATCAAACTGCAATAAATTTTACTAAATAACCCTTGCACTATTCCCGTCATATCCGAATGGCTTTTCCATTCAAACGTATGTGCATAATTTTTTTTTATTGTATATAATTATATTTCAAATTGGGTTCGACTTCAATGCGTATGATTATATTGAACTTATGACTTTGTTTAATGAAGGGTTAAATTAAAAAAGAAGATTTA